CAGAGTACCCTCCGCTGCCTGCAGCAGGCGGTTCACAACATCACCAACATCTACACAGAAGCCATGCTAGCCTATGCCTTTGCCCTGGCTGGGGACTATGAGACAACCCAGGAGCTGCTGTACAAACTGGAAGAACAGGCCATCAAATCAGGTACTGACTGCTGGCTGGCATAATGCTTCTTGTTCACCTGCTGGGATTTGGAGTAATGTTTGACTAGCTAAAGCAATTAAAGTGACATATGTATTTGCACATATTCCTTGTATTTGTGCAGTAACTGCACTGTGTAATAGAAAGCACAGTAACTTATTTCACGGGCTGTAAGTGTGACTTATCAGAAAGAATTTCCTCAGACTGGCGGTTTTCAAGATCTAGAGGGAGGAGGTAGGAATCAGTGAGCTACGAGCATATGAAGCCCTTGAGAATAAACTGAAGAAAGCAATCTTGGTCTGAGTACAGGGAATGAGCTGAAGGAGCCCTGAAAGCACTCTGGGTTTTTTTTTCCTGTGAATCCCCAATTATGTTCTTTCCAGAGAGCCTGCATGCTCCTTTTGCTTCTGCAGGAGGGCAGATCCACTGGAGCCCCAAGCCAAGATCTCCAGCTTCCACAGTCTCCTGGCCTGATACTCACTCAGAGGACATAGAGTTGACAGCCTACGTGCTCCTGGCGTACCTCTCTAAGCCACGGGTGCATGCGGGGGACATGACAACTGCAGCTGGCATTGTGGCATGGCTGACTCGGCAGCAGAATGCCTATGGGGGCTTTGCCTCCACCCAGGTAACAAGTAGCTCCCAGTGGATTGATGTGCTTCTGCACCCAGGGTTGGCAGGGCAAGTCCTCTCGAGGTCTTCCTGCTCTCAGTCGGCTACATTAGAGCTGATGCTTCAGCGGGGTGACTGTCTCTCCCTCTCTAGGACACCGTTGTTGCCTTACAAGCCTTAGCAAAATACGCAGCAAGGACGTTCAGCACATCAGGGCAGGCAGTTGTGAGGGTGAAGTCCCAGAGGGGCTTTGGGAAGGCTTTCCAAGTCAACCGCCAGAGGCGGCTTCTGGTGCAGCAGGCAGCACTGGCAGAGGCCCTGGGTCAGTTCCTGGTGCAGGTCCACGGCAGCAACTGTGTCTTTGCTCAGGTGAGGTGGTGGGATGAGTGTGGCAGAGAGTAGAGGTGAAGGTCTCTGCCTCTTCTGCTTGCATGAGATCATGCCTGGCCTGTCTTCTCTGCTCCTGGCCCTCACACTGCAGACAGTGCTGAGCTACCATGAGCCTCTCCCGCGGACTGCTGTGACCTTCACTCTGCGGGTCAACACAGAGTTGACCAACTGCAGCCAGGCCAACGCTCAAGTCCTCACCGTCCGCATCCTTACCAGGTGACCCCAAGGGCTATTTACTCCTCCAGCAAGACCCACTGTGCTTGGGGACAGCAGCTGGGAAAGGGCTGCAATGGAAAGACCTGGCATCTGGGGTGGACGGGACAGAGAGTGAATTTGGTGGGTGGAAGGGGTGGTGAAGGAAGGTGCTGGCTACATCCTTTGAGAGGGAGCAGTGGCTGCCGTGTCCCTAGTCCCTGGCTGAGTCCTGCACACAGGGCATGGTGGTGGAGGGAAGTGGGGCTGGGAGGGCACTGTTCTCACAGAGTTAAACCCTCTGTTTCTTCCTCAGCTATATCGGGAGCAGAGTCACAACCAACATGGTGATCATGGAGGTCCCCCTGCTGTCTGGATTCGTCCTGACTCCCACATCCAGGATGTTGGTAAGAACTTTGGAAATTAAAAAAAAAAAAAAAAGATGGATATGGTGAATGGGTCCCACCTGCTTGCTCCTGTTGGGAGCTGTTTATTTCAGGCCATGAGGTAACTAAATTAGCAGGGACCCTTTGCTGTTGTAATTGAACCAAAAGCTCTCATTTCCATACAGACCCCACAAGGGCAGGCTACAGGAGATCAGAAGTGGTTCAGCCTCTCCCACTGAGACTATTCTGCCTTGGGCCAGGAACAAAATATACTGCTGAGTGTGCTAAACACCAGGATTTGTTTGTCAGAAATTCTAAGACAGGATTTCTTGGAAAGACTCTAGTTCTAGCCAAAAATATTTTTTCCAGTTAAGATGCTCATAAATGATGTCCAGGAGGGACTACCAAAGATATAATGGATAAAATCCTTATGTGTGAGAAAGATACGGTTCCACACAGAGTCAAGCTCCACACCATCCCTTCAATACAACAGTGGGTCCCTCAGGTCAGGAAGCCCTAAGGAAAGTGCTCACAAATTCCTTGTGTTATTGTTTCCTATCCCAGCTGGAGCGCAGAACCATTGTTAAGAAAATAGAAGTGAAAGCTGATGTGGTCTACATTTATCTGGAGAAGGTAGGTGTAAACAAAAGTGTTTGGTTTGCACAGCGAAAGCAAGAGGCCAGAGGACAAGGAACTCTGTGAGAAGCCTGAGGCTCAGCTAGGCATGACAAAAGAGCACTGGTAGAACTGGACAGAGGAAGCTTGCCCAGTTTCATTGTCATTGGGTTTTGTCATTGTCTTTTGCTGTTCCACACATTGCTAAAACCCAGAATCTCTAATGGATTAGAGAGATTTACTGCACTAAAACATTCAAGCTAGGGAAGATGAAGATGCAATGACTTCTTTCTCCCCTTCTTTGCTAATTTCTTTCCACATCCACAAGCTCAATGATGAATCTCAGACTTTTGTTCTGCAACTGGAACAAGTAATTCAGATTAAGAACCTGAAACCGGCCACCATCAAAATCTACGATTACTACCAGCCAGGTGGGTTGCAGATTTGCTCCTACTCTGGAACTGGGAGCTGAGTTCAGTTCTCTGGCTGAGAAAAGACATGCATACTTCTCTATGTGCCTGCATGTGTGTGTGACTGACTTCCTCATTTCCTTTTGCAGAGGAGCGAGCCTTGGCCAACTACAGTGCTGTCTGTAGCTGAGGTAGGCAGCAAATCCCTGGGTGACACAAATGGTGGCATCAGGAAATGATGAGTCTTGGGTGGGATGTAAGGAACCAAAGATGGGAAGGAGGATGGTAATCAGTGGGGGGCATATATCCAGCTAGAAAGAGGAACTGGGTGTTGCCTGTGGCTAGGTGTGTGGAGCTAGGATGGGGGCTCTTCTGCAACCAAGGAGGCAGCTGGAAGGCTCTGGTGGAAGGTCGCTCAAAATGAGCATGAGAAAGAAAGAGCTGAGCATCATGTGGAGTGAGAATGCAGAGCTATAGCAGCCTGTGCTAACAAGGGCCTTCAGACCCAGATACAGCTCTGTTCTCTCCACCCCCCACTGTATTCATTGGAGGGCAGCAAAGAGGGATTCAGGGAGACAAAAGAGCAAGCTGAAGCTGGGAAGATGTAGTATTCTGTCTTGTGGGATGACATAGCCAGCTGCTAGAGGGAGGACGGCTTGTTAGTAGTAGTCTGAAGATGGCCATTCTGGAAAGATAAGATAGGATCTTGACATGGTACATGCTGCATCCTGACACAACCCCACAGCTAATGTGCTGCCTAGGGACCTGCCTAGAGACCCACCTCCTCTACTAGCCAAGACAAGGCACCTTCCACAACCTGGTGATAGCCACGGAGGGACTGGATCATGCCCTCCTTGTTTGTGTTACCTTCTGTCCCCATAATTGCACACAGTTCCTCAGAAAGGGGTAGAGGAGCTCCCAAATTTCTGATAAAGAAAAGGAGAGGAACTGCCACGCCATGACTCCTGCCTTTGCCCAATATTTCAGGTTGGGCACTGAATGGAAGGAAGTGCCCCAGCTGGGACACAGCCCACACTGAAGTTGAGCCCGTGTGGTCCTGCATCTGAGTGGATGGACTGAGGGATCACCAGAGTCCAGCACTTGTGCCTGCACTGTGAGGGCATGGGTTGGGGTGTGTGTGTGTGTGGAGGTGTCATATGTCTGGTACACACCTGGGAAAAAGAATTAAAGTAAGCATGACCCCTTGCTGCTATTGTGCTGGTTGTTGGTGAACAACAGGTTTAGCTCATGAAGATATAATTTCTGCCATTGCCAATGTAGAAATCTCCTAGCTCCCTTATTGCTCTCTCCTCATGCTTCCCATGGTTTCTGCAAATACTTCCTGCAGTAGGACTCAGACTGTTTTGGAGTGCAAGATCCAACTGAACATGCTGTGACAGCTGTATCTCTTATGCCCTTCCTGCAAGCTCCTGTGCCATCAGCTCTTCTTTGAAGCATTTTCCAGGTACTAATGCAGTGCTCTGAGACTCTAGCCCCTCACCTGCCCTGCAGCAGTACAGCCATGCCAATTGCTCTTGATAAAGGTCTCTAAATGTGACTGTTGGCCAAAGGAACTGTTGAACACCTCCCAGTCCTCCCTTGAGTTCAGCTCCATCTTATGTGATGGTCACCTCCCCCAGGCACCAACTCTGCATTGGTGCATGCTCTACCTCCTCCTGTGCAAGTTTGCTACTGGAGGCGCAGGGTTTTGCACGTATACATGTACATACACACACAGAGCGGAGGTGAAGAAGTTCTTTTTCCAAGGTGCTCTTAAATGCAATTTTTCAGGTTTGGGAGGAAAACAGTAAACCTGAATAATAACTCAAATCAGACAGTTTTAGTCTTCTGACTTTTAATAAGATGCCAGGCACAGTCTGAGCCTTTCAGAGACTAACTGCTCAGC